GAAGATCCCATCTTTCTAGGTAGAATATGTTAAAAGTGTAAAAAGATCACAAATATACCTTAAACAACAATATTGATAATATATTGATTACAAAAGAAACCTTACACATAAAATATTTTTCACTATATATTTCTCTCTTTTCTAGTTGTTGCTAGTATAACTTCGTATACTTTTTTCTCTCTAATTTTTTATGCACATATTAGAGACACACGTATCCTATTTATATAACTCTTTTATTGTTTAATTTTGGGATACCTTTAATTGACAAATACAAAAAGTCCTTCACCGCCTAATTTGGGACTTCTTTAATTGGTAGCCACAAATCCTTTATCACCTATGACGAGTACCTATGACTATCGCTTTTAACCACCGTCCATGTATATTTGTTTATGGTTATAATTTTTTATTCATTACAAAGGGTTTGAATTCTAACACTCTCCTTCAAACCCGACTTCACATGCTAAGTTTTCCTTTGAGTTTGTGGAATACTTTGATCTTTAAAGGTTTTGTAAAAATATCTACAAATTGATCTTCTATTCCGTAATAAACTAACTCTCGTAATTTTCTTTTTCACTTACTCTTGAATAAAATGATATTTGGTGTCTATATGTTTACTTTGGCTATATGACACTGGACTTTTTGAAAGTGATATAATAGATTTATTATCGATGTATATTGTAGTTGAACCTTCTTGTACATAATATAATTCACTTAAAATATTCTTTAACCATATTGCTTGACACGTACATGCTCGTTATGATTATATACTTTAAGTCATATATTGAGAGAGCAATTGTTTGTTGCTTCTTTGATGACCATGAAAATATTATTAATCCAATATGAAATGTATATCCGAAATGCTTTTTCGATCATCCAAGTCTCCACCATAATCATTATCCGAGTAACCAATTAACTTTGAATCTTGAGAATATGTATAGAATAAACCATGATCTATTGTACCTTTGACATATCTCAAAATTATTTTTGCTGTAATAAAATGATCTTGGTTTGGCTTCTTCATATTTCTCTTGATCGATCCAACTACGTAAATAATGTCTAGGCATGTGAAAGTCAATTACCTCAAACTTTTGACCGGACTTGTAAACGATGTCGAGTTTACGGACTCTCTATTCAAATCAATTCTTAACTTCATGCTTGCTTCTACTGGTAGCAGTCTATCGACTTGCAATACTTCATTCTAAACTTGTTTAAAATTTGTTTTGCATACTTCTTCTATGACATAAATATTTCATCTTTCATTTGTTTTACCTCAATTCCAAAAAGTATGATATTTCACCAATATCCGTCATTTTAAATTATTTACTCATAGCTTTCTTATAATCATTGTACATACCTAGATTACTTCTCGTGAAGATCATATCATCCACATATAAGCACACAGTGATGATATCGCATCTTGATTTTTCTTCGTGTATAAGGCATGCTCATATGGACTTTTTGCAAAACCATTCTTTTGAAAATACTCATCTATTCTTATGTTCCAAGCCAACGGAGCTTGCATTAATCCATACAAGGCTTTTTTCAATCGGTAGACTTTATCTTCCTATCCTTTTTTAATATATCCCGATGGTTGCTCCATATAAACTTCTTCTTCTAGGTATCCATTCAATAATGCCGATTTCACATCCATATCATAAATCTTTCATTTATTTTATACTCGCGATCATTGTGAAGAAGTCTAATAGTATCAATTCTTATAACTAGAGAAAACATCCCCTCATAATCAATTCCTTATATCTATTTATAGCCTTTAGCAACTAATCTTGCCTTGTATTTTTTGACTTTTCCTTATTGATTAGTCTTTGTTTTTGTACACCCATTTGACTCTATTAGCTTGTGTCCTTTTGAAAGACTAGTTAATTCCTATGTGTCATTTCTTTTTATTGTAGCAATTTCTTCATTTATAGAGTTCTTCCACTTCTCATCTTTAGTAGCCTCTTTTCATATTAATGGATCACACTTTTCCATTAAGCAAAATAATGAGTAATCAAATGTTATCTATATAGGTTCTATTAAATCATAAATATCATTTAGATTTTGTATTTTTTCGGATGCTCCCCCTAAATTGCTACTACTATCGCTACTACTCGACGATGTGGATGGTGTCGATTCGGGAGTTATTGAAGTAAAACTTTATCGAGGAGTCCGATCATCATCTTGTTCATTTTATGTGTTAAAGTCATCGCCATGTCATCATTAAAAAATAATCCTTTAACTTCTTTATTTTCTTTATTCCATCTCTAGTAATCGGCTTCATCGAATTAAATTAATATGCTTTTATTTTCTTTGTTCCATCTCTAGTAATCACCATCTCATGAGATGATCACCTTTTTGGTCAAAGGATTGTACAATCTATAGTCTTTTTTTTCATAACCAATAAAGATACATTTCTCACCTTTGTCATCTAAATTTTTTCTTTTACGGTTAGGAATATGGGCATATGTAATGCACCTAAAAATCTTGAGATGTCCAACTGACTAGTTTGCTACTCGCTCCATGCTTCATTTGAGCGTTTTGAATTTTACACTTTTCATTGGACATCAATTTAGTAAATAAATAGCACAAATAATAGCTTCGACCCAAAAGGTTCTCGATAAGTGCTTTCTTTTCACTATGCTCCTTGTCATATCAAGAATTGTACGACTCTTTCTTTTTGCAATGTCATTTTTATCATGGTGTATATGAATCTATCAACCGATGAATGATTCCATTTTCTTTGTAAAAGATTTTAAATAACTTTGAGTTGTACTCGTTTCCTCTATCGGATCTAAGTATCTTCGATTCATTGCCCACTTTGTTTTTTGACCATTGATTTGAACTCCTTAAATTTATTAAGAGTTTATAATTTTTTTTAAGAATATACACCTAATATTTTATACTAAAATCATCAATAAAAGTAAGATAATATCTATTTTTGCCAAGTGATGGTATATCAAATGAACCAACTATATCTAAGTGAACAATCTCCAAAGGCGTTCGGCTCTCCATGATTTTCCAACTTTAAAACTTTGCCTTTGTTTTTCTTTAATGCGAGCTTCACATAATTGATCTAGTTGATCAATTTTTGAAAGTCCATTCACCATCTTTGCTCTCGATAATAATTTCAAGTCGATAAATCCAAGATGATCCAACCTTAAATGCCATAACCATGATTCATCTTTAATATAAACTTCATGCACTTTAGCACATCTATATGAATATCAACTATGAAAAGATGATTCTTTGTCATAACAACTTTAGCAATTAATTCCCCATTTCTTGTTGATGACAAAAGAGCGATCCTTCGGACGTATATCATACCCTTTTTCTAGAAGGTCGACCAAGGATGATGATATTGTTTTTCCTAGCAAGTACATAATAAACATAATGTATATACTTCTTATCTTCATTCTTTAAGGTAATCATAAGTTTACCTTTACCTTTAATCGAAATCTTTGATGAGTCACCAAAACTAACTTCTCATTGGATAGTCTCATCAATTTATAAACAACTCTTTTCGACGATACTTATGGTTATTGACATCGGTGTCGAGATACCAAACATTTTTCTTGCACTCTTCATTTCTTCGTATGTTAGGAAAATAGTCGATTTAACTTCTTTGTCTTCTACTGCTGTAAAATGATTTGTTTCCTCCATCTTTGGAACTAATTTGCATTCATAATCGAAATGGCCATACTTGTTATAATTATAACATTGCAATTGTGATTTATCATCTCGTTTTTGAAATCTGCCTCTTTCTTGATTTCGGATTCTCAACATGATCATATATTTGATAGCCTTCATATATTTAGCTTCTTTCGAAGGAGTTTACGTCACATCCTCGTCCACCTATATACCCCTCATGTACCTCGATTTTCTCTACGTCGTCCATAGTTGTTGCTAGCTTGATTGTCACTAATATATAATTTGTTTTATAAAGCTTGCTCCAGATTATCGGTATTTCATTCTAGTTCATTCTCTCGCTCATGAGCTTGAAGAGAACCCATAAGCTCGTCAATAGAAATTTGTGACAAATCCTTTGATTCTTCAATAGCGGTGATGACATAATTAGATTTCTTTGTCAGTGAACGTATAAGTTTTTCCATTACTCGACATCATCAAGAGTTTCTCCATTTCTTTTCATATCATTTACCATCGTTTTCGACGAGTGACGTACTAATTGATCTTTTTAGAATTTTGCATTTTTAATGTCTCAAATTCAGCTATGAGTGATTGGAATCGTATCTTTTTAGCTTTTTCGACTCCTTAAAGATATTTCGCAGAATCTCCCATGCCTCATTTAGTGTCTTTGCGTTTGATAATTTCTCAAAGGTTGATTCATCAACTCCTTAAAAAATGAAAAATAAGGCCTTCTTGTCCTTTTTGTGTGAGTCTTTAATTAAGTGTTGTCTTTTGTGCATTTGTCGAAGATGCTTCGATAGTGGCAAACATCTTTAAGCTTGGTATAGCCTTCTTCAACAATCTCTCACAAATCTTATGAACCGAGCAAAACCTTCATCTAAATGCTCTAGTTTTCATAATTCATCATTGTTAGTTTCGGAATCTAAAGCTGAATCATATGATCCATCTTCTCACTTGAAACGCGGACATGAACCAGACTTTGATACCACTTACCGAAAGCATAAAAAGATCACAAATATACCTTAAACAACAATATTGATAATATATTGATTACAAAAGAAATCTTTACACACAAAATATTTTTTTCACTCTATATTTCTCTCTTTTCTAGTTGTTGCTAGTATAGCTTCTGCATAATTTTTTCTATCTAATTTTTCATGCACTTATTAGAGACACACGGGTCCTATTTATACAACTCCTCCACCGCTTAATTTTGGGATATCTTTAATTGAAAGCTACAAAAAGTGCTTCACTGCCTAATTTGGGACTTCTTTAATTAGCAGCCACAAATCCTTCATTGCCTATGACCATCGCTTTTGACCATCGTCCATGTATATTTGTTTGTGGCTGTCATTTGTTTATTCATTATAAAGGGTTTGAATTCTAACACCATGCACATTATTAGTAGTAGAGTGATCCAAACCATAGGGTGGTTCTTGCTGCTGCAGATCTTCAAAGCCATTTGTAACTAAGTTTGAGGCAGTTTTAGGAATTTCATCTTTCAAACAGAGATCCTCATTATTTTTTGAGCAGTCCTCAGAAGCATAATCTTGCACAAGTTTGAATGGGCTGCTGCCTTTTAAAACTTGACCAGAATCCTTATCAGAACCAAAGCACCCAGCAGCTGCCATGAACCTTAATGAACTCTTTTCATCAACCTCTGCTGAATTAATGACTGGGCTATGAACTGCAGAAATTGACTTCCCAAATGTCAATTGGTTATGACATGGGATGAGTTTTGACGCCGTAATTGGAAAGCAAGAATAACTCTAAACTTAATGGACATACAACAGGTCTATAGGTTGTTCCTGTTCAACTAACATGAGCAATCTACATCAGAACCACTCAACTACAAGTGTTCTAGTGTTTCAGGCCAGCAAATAGCTCAATATATAAGCACAGGCATGTATTATTAGAGCTTTGCAGTGTATTATTATCTCAAAGGGAGAAAAAGAGATTGTGCATGTAGAGAAAACCAGTGCGTGTGTAAAACATTTACCTTGTTCACCACAATCCAGGCCCGAGGAGCCAGAGATAGATAGAACCATTGTGGCAGCATCAGATTGTGCTGAACTTTGCAATTCATACAACTGTTCTCTTATATCAGACGCTCCAGCTTTCAAATGATTACCGTGAGTTACACCTCCAATAGGGTGACTTGATGCCTGGTCATTGTCAGTCTCTGTAACTTCATCTGAAAACCACTCATCGATGAGTGAGAAACAAATAATGAGGAGAATGAATCAATAATACAAAAGATTCCTCATCCATAACAATACGTACAAATAAAATAAACAGTTAAGAAAAATTCTCCAAATTGGATCAGTTGTTCAGATCATTCAACGTGAACTCTTTTCTTCTACAAACTAACAAGCATTTCAACCAAACATCATCCACAGCACAAAACTATCACTTCTTGACAAAATATCATGGGGCGCAGCCGCTTGGTGTCACGATCTTAATTTTATGAAATCACACAGAGACAAGTGGAAAGGGAAGGATCCTCTCTTCATATGTCACGATAGAACTCCTTCACGGAAGGGAAGATCTGGGTTAAAAGAAACTCATCAGTTAATTACGGAGGACGAAAACGGTAGGATTTGCGATGAGTTTGAGATATCTTTGGAGGGTTATGGTGATTTCACTCATGTGACTTTTTCGGGTCAGGAATTGATTTTACTTGGAAGAAAGCGAGATATTTTTGTTCGTAACCCTAGCACCCATGATTTGGTGAAATTGCTTGCGCCCGTTTTTGACCCAGATAGCACAGATACTCTTGGTGAACACGTTGCAATTACATTCATTCCTTCTACCTGTCAGTACAAGGTGCTTCAGTTGTGCCTTACTAAAGATATAAAATTACGCAATCATTGCTGGATCTATGAGATATTCGAAACGATGGAAAACTGATTCTGGTTGCCGGAGGTTGATCTGTCGTACGCAGATATTATTAGAAGGTGATAATTTTATCAAAAAACATATCGCCTATGGAGTATATTATTGGTGGTTGGAAAGGAGTTACATTGGTCTAAAGGAAAGACTAGTCATTTTCTCACTAGAGGTGGATAAAGAAAACATGCTGAGAATCAAGAAACCCCGAATCCGAATGCATTCAAAGTATTTTGATGAAACACTAGGTTTGAAGGGTCAGTCGAGTCTAATTAAGGTTGATATTATTGTTCTAACAACAATCACTGTAGATTTTTGGATATTGAAGGACCAGGAGAACTCTGTATTGGAAAAAGATTATATCATCAATGTTCAAATATCCTATAATATGCCGAAGATGAGTTATCCAAATTGTGGGGAACGAGAAATATTGTTCAAGAGAGATTCAGAACTATTCTATTGCAATCTCGAAACTAAAACCTTTCATCAAATTAAGAAGAGTAGAGAATACAAAATCCGCATAGGCTTCAAGTTTTACTTTGGTGGTCTATTTCATCTGGGAAGGTTAACTGATGGGAACATTGCTGCAGGTATCTCTGTTCTGCCGCCAAAAGAATTGTATGCATTGATTATCTTATTTTGTTTTCCCTCCATTGTTCGCTTCAATAAACGAACACAATTGTAAGTTTTTTTTTTTAATTATTATTATTATCCCAAATGCATTGTCTTGAAAGAAATATGCTTCACCTGGTTTTATATAATAGGTCAAGTTTTCAATTTGTCATATTGTATCCTAAAATGATTGTATTATGTCCTTATTATTTTAATCAGTAAATTTTTCCAATTGAATCATTAGAAAATATCACATGACGTATATATGATTTTTTCTTTAACGAAAATATCTTTCATAGCTTAAAATATTAAAGTTTTTAATTTGTTTTTATATAATGGGTTGAGTTTTCAATCAGTTCTTAAATAAAAATAGGTTGATTATCCCACCCAAATTGAAGAAAAGTCAGTTACTACTGATTAACATCATGGAAAAGAGAAATTCATACATCCTGTTCAAGTGTTCATGCTGCTTTTTTTTCATGTGCTAAAATGAAATCCTAGAGATAGCTCACTCTTATGAGATCTGCAAAGCAGAAGATTATGGCATATTAATAAAAAAAGGTATACAAACACTAACATGTTCACAAGGTTTTTATCACGGTTCCCATAGAACAACTAAGGCCAGGCAATGAAAGAAGAGTAAATAAGGATCTCGGAACTGAAGTCTACATACAAATCATATCATATTAAATAAAAATAAGTGCTCAAAATAATCTAGAAGAAAGAATATTGGTTTGCCAGAAGAGGCGAAAAAATATAGAATAGTAAAGAGAAGATATACAAAGGAAAAAAATCCTGCAAGAAGCTCCATATTTGGTGTAATAGATGAAGTCAACAACACCATCCTCTGTAGCAAAAAAGTTACAGAGGAAGCTGTATTCTCATGCTTTTAGTTGAACAATGCGTTTGCTGGCAAAATTTAAAGAAAGGCACCGCCCTAGATTGGATGAATCAAAACTACTATTTTTTATTTTGCTTCTTGGGTTTTTGGTTTTTGAAGATAACAAAGGCTGTCAGTCCTGGAGTCCTGTTCTCTTCCCCTGCATTGAAGTGAAGAACATACGATTGGGCTAAACATCCATGATATCCACCAGTTTTCTCGTCCCTTCATTTATTTATTTTCAATCAAGAAACACCCATTAGTTTCCACTCTGGACTCTACCACTGCACTACTAATAGTACACATACACCTTAGGAAACACAATAGCTAACATGTAATGTAATTATAAGGAGCACTGGAGCAGCCTTTGCGGCAGACTCTTAACCAATATGAAAGCATTGATAGTGTCAGAAAATATGGTAAATTTATCACTACTAACAATCAATCTGAGATGTGACACGAGATGCAAGGAATTGGGAAGAATTTTTGCCAACATGTATGATTGGGAATTCAATCCAAGAAGGAAGATTTGTCCACTTAAAGGAATGCCTATTGGTAAATCAGACATTAAATCATAAATTAGTAGATTTATCCAGAAGTCAGAAACGTCCTCACTTAATTCTAGCCCAAGTTATAGCTGCAACTGCAGCACCTCCCAAGTGAGCTGATCCTGAGATGTTACTATCTCCCTGCAAAAAAAAATTGGCACCCAACATTCTAGATTGATATAGGTTGAAATTAAATAAAAAAAAAAAAGAAAAAAAAAAAGAAAGAAAGACAGAAAGAAAGAAAAGATGTGTAAAAGGAAGGGAAAAAAGTAATAGGATGAATATCAATGTACCTCCACTATCCTCAACATATCTTTCCCAATTAAAAAGATACCCTAGAATGACAACAATTGACAAAAATAATAGGGTAAGCATCTGAAAATGGACTCGAATAAAGTTATTTCTTCAGTTAAAAAAAAATATATCTTTATTGAAAGGAGCTTACCAGTAAGATTGCTGGAACTGGTATAATAAAATCGAAGAATAGAGTAGCTCTTGGATTCAAGAATATATCGAGCAACATGATAGCATTGACTGCTCCACTAGCCCCCTAAGTGACACAAGCATACTCATTAGTCAAAATTTAATAATGAAAAACTGATCTAGGTTTTGCTGATCTTCTTCTATCTCTTGAACAAACACAGAAAATCTGGCCAGAAGGTCATCCTTGGGTGCATGGAAACAAAAGGAAAAGCTGTTTATCATATTCTGAGTCAAGAAACTAATTTAAAGAATATATAAGAGGAAGTGGAATAATGTTGCGACCAAAAAAATGCCACACTGAATTTATTGTTGGCATCAGTCAAATTTCATGACAAGTTTTTTGTTGATTTCAATCGTTAAGCAGTTGACTAGCTATATATTATAGTTCACAGGTTCAAAGTATTAGAGGAACATTCCTAATGAACAGCATTGTCATACTAATGATGAGAGTCAAGGGACAAGGATTCAAACATCATTTGTCTTGAATAATTAAACAAAAATGTAAATAGAAAGAATAAGAACTCTGATACAAAAGAGTTGCAAAAGCATACTAATCCTGGAGTCCTTGAAGGATCCCTCACCCACATTCCCTGTCCCTGCAGATAACAAGTATAGGGAACAGAGTCAAGGATTTCTAGTCAGCCAACAGGTAAATAAACATCGCATCCTTAAATAGAATTCCAACAAGAACAATCAAATAGTGCACAAATTACATGTACTTCGTTTAACACGTGGAATGGAATTTTCAACTCATCATCGGTAACCACATATCATTCTGTTAGTTAATTTCATCAAAAATCAAGTCAAACAGTTTAAACTAAAGTTTGAAAATCATGTCAAACTCTACATTACTGTGAATCACATCATAAAATGTAACAACCATTTTATATGCAAAGTAATCATTCCCATAACTTGCTTCCATGACAGGGCATAATGTAATTGTTGCATAGGACTATAGTACCTTTGATGATAAAGCCATGAAGCCATGGTGCAGCAAGTAGAACACTGAGCCACCAATTGCCCCAGCCAGATACAACTTTAACAAGAATTCAGGTCCAAAAGTCCTTGCAATCTAGGCAGTAAAATAAATAAATAAATAAATAAAAGCACAAAAGACAGCACAACCAAATACATTTTTCAGGAATAATAAAGAATACTTCATCCAACATAAAAGGGGCAGAAATGCAGATCTTAGTTCAACTGATACATAATACATATGCAAACTATTTTGGAAATATTATTGTTGCAAGTTATAAGAAAATATATATAAAAGTAGAAATCAATACAATGTATCTGATAAGATGAGTCATCATAAATGTGATTGGTAAAAATTAACTAAAAAAAATAAAAAAATCTGCAGGACCAATGATAGAACACAAGATTGTTGAAATCTAGAACATATCAAAGTGAAACTTTGAATGAAAGCCACAATGGAAGAATATGTATATATAATCAAATTTTCACTCATACAGATCAGTGTCTGATTTGCTTTCTCTAAACATATCAGGTCTCAAATCATAAAAATGAAACCAACTTACCAGAAGTGTATAAAGGAACAAAAGATTGTAACGAAGAAAAAATTTCAAGGAACGTAAACATACATTTGTCCCAAAGAAGTATAGTCCAATCATGTTAGACACTATGTGCCCAATATCAATATGACTGAATGCAGAAGTAATAAGGGTGTGAACACGTCCACTTCTGAAATTGTCCACTGAAATCTGTTCAGGACACATCAAATGAGTCAGTAGGGAATGGAGATTGAAACAAATCACCATTAGTTTAAAACACTGAGTCATTTTTGAAGTGTCATTCTTCAAAGTATACCTCTTGAATTCTCTATTCTACAGTCACAGGGCAATTTATAGTTAGAAAATTAGCCGGCATACTCTGTTTGAAAACAAATATTTTTTTCACTGAAGAATTCGTTTGTTGATAATGCAAAAAACTATGCTTATATTGTAGCTCAATGTCGCATTTCTATGAAGAATTGTCAAGGGTTGGCCTCTGCACCCACCACTTTAAGGAGAGTGCAGCACATAATGAGTTTAGCATACAAAATCTATGTAGTATCAATTACTTAGTACCATCTAATCAAGAAACAGAGGAACCACCATAAAATTTTCCATCATAAACTTTTGATCAACAGTCCGCCATAACATAAAAACAGCAGCATTGGCTATGATCAGACCCAGAACCACATCATCAGCAGATAGCCGATTGAACCTTGATCTCCTACAAACAGCAGACAATAAATGATTAACACACATGAAAAATTCTAGATTGTCTAAGAACGTACAAGACATGCCATCCAATAAGGGATTACTCTAATTAATCTCATATGTTCCTTGAGCACTAATCTGAAATGGAAAATCAAAACTGCGAAATTATTCCAATAGATCACACCAAATATTCTTCCATCTAGTACAAACATAAAGTAAAAGGCAAATTTTTTTACTCTAATGATGGAGATTCTTATCCTCCAGGTGAAGGACTAGGATGCACAGAACCAAACAATAGTATTCCAGATGTCAAGTTTTTCTCTCTTGCAAGGTTTAAATTGATCATTTATTAATAAGCCTTCATTAAGGTAACTCCTCGCAAGTGGGGTTGCATAAAATGACATTCTCAATACAAAATTACATCTTAAAAGTTAAATTCAAAAGGCTATGTCGAGAAAGAGACAGAGAGATTATGGATTTTTGGTTAAGAGCGAGAGAGCTTTTGTGACAAGTGAAAACAGCTACGGCTTGAAAGCTAAAAGAAGAAACTATAGGACTACTGTCGTCTATTCAAAAGTTGACACGCACTCTAGTTCTGAGCCAGAGCTACTGCTAATGCTTTTTCTCTCTCACAAGTTACATCAACCAAGAAGAATCTGTCATGATCACTCATAACTCACAAAATTAGTAGTAATCTAAAACAAGTGACAATAAAATGCAGCAAAAATCAAGCTTTTTCGTGACTTTCCTACGTATTTTTCGAAAACCAAAGAGAAGCAATAGCAATAGCAATTTGTAAACAATTAAAAGAAATTACCAGCCACGGCGATAGGAGCCAAGAATTGGATTGGACCCAGAATACCCTCTAGCAAACCGAGCTATAAAGAAGCCAACTTTGCAATCTGTGAGATTTTTGCTCGAAACCCTGAAATGGGAATTTGACGAAATAGACAAAAAGTGCTTTGAGAGAAAGCCATGAAGAAATTTGGCTGGAAGATTGTGGATGTGGTGCGATTGACATGAATGGATTGTTAGGTGAGATAAGCTTAAACTATGGTTTTGGTATGGATGGGTTGGTTTTGTGAAGGTTTTATAAGGGTGAGAGAGGAGAAGTGAAGAATTGTTTGCGAGTCTTTTCGAGAGGTTTGATGAGGCAAATCTGAGAGAAAGGAGTCCCTGCATTTCTTTCTTTTTATGCTCTCTTCCTCTCCTTCTGGGCTGTGGCTGACAGGATTTTGTAATGAACAAAGACCCAAATTCTTTGCTTTGCTTATACTTTGATCGTTTTTATAGCCTTATTAGTGTGCCGTCTGCAAGCCTAGAATAACTTTTGTGCGCCAAAGTGCATTTAAAAAAAAAAAAAAAAGAAGGAGAAGATTTTGAGGATTAAAAAAAATTTGGGTAAAATTTTAAAAACTATTTAAAAGCCAAAAGTCACAAAAAATCAAATTGTTATGAAATAATGAACATTTATCGTCATGTTTATCTACTTTTCATATCTCTACTACTCATGATTCTTAATATGATTCAATTCATTATTCAATATGAGAAATTGAAAGGATAAATTGAAAGGATGATGTAATTGATTATTCATAGTCACTTCCAATTTTATTCTCAATTTTGAAGCCTATAAATAAGCTTGATTATTCATTAGTTGGTATATAAGCATTCTATAGAGATTGTGAGAATTGTTTAGAATTGTTATCTTTTATATTCTCTTTATAATGAAATCGGTTCTTCCATTTTTCTTTCCGATTCTCCAATTATTTCTATTTCTTTCATAATATGTTATCGACACGAAGCTCTAACTAATCGAGACAATAGACCATGAGGTATGTATCTATAAAAAGATTTGATCAATTGTTTCAACCATTAAATTTCTTCTACACAAATGCTCTACCAAAAGATTTAAATTATTTAGATCATTAAGATGTATGTATCTAATTTATCATGTCCTTTAAATATAATGATATATAAAATATACATTTGAAAAACTTAAATGATTTAATATATAGAATCTAATGATCTAATATATGTTGTTTGAGAAGCTTTAATTTTATTAGTTATGTTTATTCTTATTTTCTAATATTATTATTATATCTTATATTATAGAATTTTTATCATATCAAACCTCATAAACATGATTTTGTGAATCTTGATATTTCGAATAAGAATTATTGATTATGAGTGCTTGACTCTAAAAAATATTCTCTACTTTTGTGTCTTGAATATGCTCCTGCAGTAGCAATATCGAGAAAATGAATTAAGAAATATTCTGAATCGATTTCATATTTGCTCATAGCTAAATAAAATGATAAACTATTGATGAAAAGAATAAATCTTATCTGACTGGATTTACTTCATTTCCCGAAATGAATGTGACAACTTATAATAATTTTGGGTATGGATAAAGATGTGATCATAGCCATTGACGTAATCGAAATAATTATCATTATAATTGTGTTGACCATAATATTATATCTCACCACCAGAAGTGGATAACTATGAAAAAAAGAATAAAAATAGATAAAGTCGGTATTCTAAAAAATAAATGTTATAGATGTGAAATGAATGAATATTGATCGTGTACCTGCCGTACACCAAAGCACCTCATTGACCCTTGTCAAGCCTTATTGAAAAATAAAGAGTAAAATATGAAGGTCACTTTTATATATCAAAATAATAGTAATTGAAATTAATTACTTGTTAGTTTTTCTATTTATAAATAAAATGTTTTATATTTCTTATAATTTATATCGTATAGTGATGGTTATAAATTTATTTTACTATTTATTTATTCATTTATGTTTATAAGGAATATATTTATTTATTTATTTTGTATTGATTTATTTGATTATTTATTTTATGTTAATATTATATATGATAATATCAATCTAATAGAAAGCTCTAGAAGAGTGACTATATTATTATCTAAAGAGATAAATTTTGAAGGCTCTAGAAGAGCAATTATATTATGACTCGAAGAGATAAATTTTTGAAGTTCTAGAAGAGTGGATATATTATTACTTAAAGAGATAAATTTTAAAGGCTCTAGAAGAGTCGATATATTATTACTTAAAGTGACATAATTTAAAGGTTCTAGAAGAGCAAATATATTATTATCCGAAAGGACAAATTTATTATAGATAATGTACTATTCTCTTCAAAATCTCATAGAAATTTATTGAGTTTCAAAGATATTGATCTAAATTGATATTATATCAAGATAACAAATGTAAATACTTATATATTATAATCATTATATCGGGTAGAAAATATGATTTACCCATTTTCTCTTCTAGTCTTTATTATAAATATTAAAATGATTGAAACAAATAATATAGTAAACTAGAAGTTTACTAATTCAAATACTTTTATTATATGGCATGACTAGTTTTATTATCTTGGGTCTTTCATGATGCGAAAAAAATTATCAAAAAATCATAAGGATATCTATTAAAGAGCAAGAAGATTCTTCAATTTAATGAATTTTCATATTCCGCATGTTCTCAAGGCAAATTGATTATTAAGCCATCACCAAGTAAAATTGAAATTGAATCTCTAGTAATTTTAAAATGTATTCAAGATGATATATGTGGATCAATTCATCCACTATATGGACCATTTAAATATTTTATGATTTTAATAAATGCATCCACAAGATGGTCACATATATGTTTATTATCTACTCGAAACCTAATGTTTTTGAGATTGCTAGCAAATAATTTGATTTTGAACATAATTTTCAGATCATGCCATTAAAATAAGTCACCTTGATAATGCCGATGAATTTATTTCTCAAGCATTTGATTATTATTGATTGGCTATTAGAATAAAGGTTGAATAGTCCGTTGTTCATATTCATACTCGGAAAGGTTTAGCAAAAATTATTTATCAAAAGGCTTCGATTGATAGCTAAACCATTATTTAAAAATAAAACTCCATGTTTCTATTTAGGGACATGCAATCTTACGCAATAATACTTATTCGTATACGATCCATAAGTAATCGAAATTCTCTCCTCTTCAATTGATTTATGGTAATGAGCTATATATATATATATTTTAAGAATTTTTGACATTGAAGTGTATATTCGTAGTGCTCATTCATAACGTAATAAAATGGACACTTAAAGGAGATTGAGAATATATGTTGGATTAGAATCCTTTTCGATAATTAAATATCTTAAATCATGCATAAGATGATATTTTTACAGACTTGATTTATCGACTATTAGTTTAATAAAATAGTTTTTCCAATATTAGCATAAGAGAATAAAATAAAATAAGCGAGTTGGAAATATTGAAAAAAAAGGGATTATAAAGAGTACTCGTATCTTTATATCAATTTGGTACAAAATAATATGAATTAGAAATTCAGAAGATAATTCATTTACAAGGTATTACAAACTAACCGCTAGATGCATTCTCGGATTCTTAAAAAAATAACTAAAATGCATGTTCTCACCGAGAATGCTCATATTAGAATTGATGTCCTAGAAGGACAATCTATTAATGTTATAGCTACTAAAGCTAAAGCATGCTCGAAGCGTGGAAGACCGATTGGTTCTAAAGACAAAAATCCCTAAGAGAAAGGAGCAAGATGAAAATATAAAGGATGTAAATATTCACAAAACGGTCCAAGATATTTTTGATAATAGGCTTCCAGAAGAAGTCCAAATGCTTGAGAAAAATCAAGAGATTTTGATAAATTATGTCAATATAGGAAGAAAATAGGATCGAAGAGAAATATTTATTGATAAGATTTTTGCACATAATATTACAATTGATATTTTGAATGAAAATAAGGATCCTAGGCCAAAATTTATTGAAGAATATCGACATAAAGATAATTGGCCTAAATGAAAAGATTAATCCGGACTGAATTATGTTCTCCTACAAAAGAGTAGTTTTTTGAACCCATAGCTAAAACATTTGAAGATGTTAAGCTAGTGGGATACAAATATGTATTTATGTAAAGACAAAATAAGATAGATGAGATTGTAAGATACAAAGCAAAACTTTTAACACAAGAGTTTTCGCAAAGAACTGACATTGATTATGAGGAGACATATTCTCCTATAATGGATACAATTACATTTTTGTTATCTCATTAGTCCGGTAAAATATATGAAAACATTCATATGTATGCATTTAATGAATGTGATCACAATTTAGTTGTATATTTGAAATAATATTAGTATGAAAGTCCTAGAATGACTTAACATGCCGAAGCATGTAATACATATTCTCGAGAAAGAATTCAATTAAATTATAGAGATCTCTCTTAGAATTATTTTAGTATTTGTTTTATTATTTTAGTTTGTAGAAATTCAATTTTATATTATATTTTTATATATACTTGTTTATTACTAACCCGTATGCATATGATATAATCACTTCAATGATTATTTATTGAAAGAAAGTTATAAAAAAAATAACCCTATTTGTTCATATATTTTTATTTGAAATGGAGTTTGTTGTATATGTTGATGACTTAAATATTATTGAAACTCATGAAGAGATTCCAAGTGTTATAAATTATCTAAAAAGAGAATTTGATGTGAATACCTTCGAAAAATAAAATGTTATCTCAACCTCCGAGTTCGAGTACTCAGAGAAAGAGATTTTTATTCATCGATCAATTTATATAGAAAAAATTTTTACAATGATTCTATATAAAGATCATTCATTGACTAGCCCAATGGTAGTTCATTCACTTGATATCTAAAAAGACTCATTTTAACCTCGAGAAGATAACGAAGAACTACTTAGTCCCGAAGTACTCATATCTTAGTGCCACTAGTGCATTAATATATCTTACTAATACTACTCGACTTGATATAATCTTTTCTATAAATTTATTAGCAAGTCATAGTTTTGTTTCAATATGGAGACATTGAAATAAAGTTAAATATATATTACGTTATCTTCAAGGAATAATTGATATGAGCTTCTATTACTCCAATAAATCAAAGACAAGATTAATTGGTTATGTAGATGCAGAGTTATTTATCCGATCCACACAAAGCTCGATCATAACTGATTATATATTACTTATGGAGATACAACTATATCTTAGCGTTCTATGAAGCAAACTATAGTTGCCACATCTTCAAATCATGCAAATATATCAATTCACGAGGCAAGTCGAGAATGTGTTTGGCTAAGATCAATGATCCA